AGCTAAGGAATAACACCACACAGTTTATACACATTAAAAAATAAAACACATTGTAAGGTATTTAACATTTATTTCACATGAACTGTACAGAGAACTGCATTGTGTGAACCTCAAAAGGAAAAATTATATACATCAAGGTTTTCTTGGATCAAAATCATACTTAACAAAATACTCTGAAAGACTGGGCATGTTGGTAGAAAGTTAGTAACAAATAATTAACTGGGGGATTTTTTATCCCCCCTAATAGTTGCTCATGGGGAGATCTGCCTCTCTTCCCATGCGACAGCTGTCCTGTGAAATGTGATGATTACACAGTGAGAGGTCCCATGTAACCAAAAGGGATGCCCTCATTGAGACACAGAATAAGCCATTGCTTCTAGACCGATTGATATATGTGAGTAATTAAGTGTCCTCCTTGACTAAACCAGTTTTACTTCAGAGGTCTCTGTCACAACCGAAAATTCCCAAACTACCATATTATGCATCCTATATCACAAGAGTTTCAGTATCTGATCAATATCCCAGTGTGAATAAGAAAATAAATCAATTACTTATTCATAAAAAACATATTTTATAATGATAAGATTCAATAATGATAGTGCAGTCACCAATTCCAAAATACCAGCTGCATGTAAAGTGAGAATCTGATTCCTGCCCAGCGGCACATATTGGTTTCAATTGTCTTCATCAGTTCAAAACTTGGCCTTGTTACAACAGGCACAGTAAAGAATACTTCCTTCTCATAGGATTCTTTTTCTAATTGTGGAGTCAGTGGAAAAGGAAAGAATTTTAATAGAGTCTAATGTTAATATGGAAGAATATAGAAATAATCTCACCCATTTTAATTCTATTTTTTAAAGATTTATTTATTTATGCATACAAGAACTGGGTACAGGCCAGAGGTGCGGGGGGGGGGGGGATGAGAGGATTCACCAGAGTGGGGAGCAGAAAAGGCAGATCTACTGAAATACACTGCCAAGGGGAGCAGCAGGTGAGACAGGAGAGGTTTGCTGCGCCATGTGGGTTACCTAGCTGCCTGGGGATCCAACTGGTGCTGCAGTAGTTGCTTCATAGTGCTGTTTAACTCCTTGTGCCACCAGGGAGGTCCCCCATTTTAATTCTAATGAATGGAAACTGAAGCAAGATTAGTTGACCTCTACCTTACTTTCCACTTATGGAGTGGCTGATTCAAGACATAATCCTTTGAAAGGCAGATTTTATTTCTTTTTATTGTTTTTTAAATTATTTTACTGAGGTAATATTGGTTTACAACACCATATATGTTTTAGGATATAGGTTCACACCTCTTCAAATGTTTCCATGTAGACTCCATCACCAAAGCACCAATAACTCTCCACCATAGTCCATTGGCACAATCTCCCTCTGTGTTTCACCCCACTTTCCTCTGGTAGCCTGAGTTTTTCTTATTTCTAGGATTTGTTCAGTTTAGTTTTGTGAAAGACAGATTTTAAATCACTAAGAAATCCCAATATAACCTATAGAGTTTTATATTCTCTCACAAAAAAATCCTGATGTCTTTCTGAAAGAAAATAAGCTTTCAGGAGAAAAAATTGTTTTGTATAATACCTGAGAAACTTCATTAGTTATTACACGTCTCTGTTTAATCTTTGGAACAAATCATTATATGTTAGACTCACTCTTGTATCAGGATTTTTATGTTGGAATTTTAAACTGTAATCTACTGAAACATTTCCCCAAAGTTTCTTAACTTTGATATATACAATATATTGATAGTTCCCTTGGCATCTAATGTCTTGGATGATATCCAACGTTTTGTAAAACATCCCCTCCTCTGAGTTAGATACCCATCTTCAACTATTTATATTATTATGCTTGTGGGCTATTTGGTAACAAGACATCTGTTCAGAAATCCCTTTAGAAGGTTTCCTACATTATTTATGTCACTGCTGAAGCTATTTCGCCTCCCTCAAAAAACAACTATTTTACCTACAAAAAAAAAGTTTTATTTAGCTGGCAGTGTTGATTATTGTCATTTATAGTCTCTTTTGCTTTCAGAGATAGTCAAGTGGCCATTTATTTTGAAAATAAATCTTAAAAGCTATTCTTATGTTCTCACAATTAAAAAGTAAAATTTAATGATTTTATGTAAATAATTAGAATCTCACAAATCAGTAAGATTCCCCCCAAAATCATTCCCCATGACTTCTGAAAGCTCTAAACTTTTGTCTGCTTATTTTTTCCTGCAAGCTAAATACACTTACCAAAAATTTCCACATTCCACATCATCAAAGCTTTCATCTTGTCTCAAAAGAAAAAAGTAAAAAAATTAAATGCCATTAAAAGCCAAAATCAACTATTTTCAGACTCAATTTTCAAATGTCAGTTTTCTTTTACCTAATTTTAGTAAATTTACATAGTGTTATTCTAACGTTACTATTTGACATTTTCCAGAAGAAAAGCAGTAGAAACTTTTCACCATCTGTGTTGCTTTTGGAAACTCGCCCCTCCCATCTGTGGTCAAGCAATGCAATGGTCAGGCTGGTAGGGATTTGCCTTCATCACATTGCTCAGAACTCTAACTCCGGGAATTACCTGTTGTTACCCTGCAGCTGAATGTTCTGAAGAATGGACCTCTGTGAACAAGGTACTACAAAAAGAGAGATGACTTTCTACATTCACAAGCCATTAAAGGAAATTCCCATTAGGAGGAAGGGGATTGGGGAAGAAGCAATCGAATAAAAGACCAAATAAAGGTCTAGTCTGCATTTTTGGATAGAGACCATTTTCTGTTGAATCAGCTACTATTTCTGAAGCCTTTCAATGTCTGCTTCCTATGGAGTTTAGTTTTCCAAAACAAAAGTGGGAAGGAAGTGTTGTTTTTCAGTATAATGATGTTCTAACTAGATTTCAATTAAAAAAAAAAAAAAAAAAAGGACGTTGGGGGTATAAGTACAGCCTGGTGGCTATGCCTAGAATTCTTGGTGAAAATGAAAAACTTGCCAAAAAAAAAAAAAAAACAAAAAAACCAACAACCAGGGTGGGGGGGGAGATATGGGTAGGGGGTGTTCTGTCTGCCTATTTAGAATGCGGTGCAAAATGAGACTGCTAAACTAAGCTAGAGAAAACAGAAAGAGGAAGTCTATTAGCTCAAGCATTATACATATGCTGTCGGTTATTTTTGTTTCATTACAAGAGTTGCTTTTAAACAGATAACCATCACCTATCACCACCACCACCCCCAAATCACTAAACTGGTGTTAAATGTACCTTTAATTCTTTTTCTCTGTCCTCCCAGAGACCCTCGACAACTTTGTTCTCCAGCCACCCTCATTCCAGCAATGAAACCTGACAAATAGCAAAAATTCTGAAACAGAGTTGGGGGGGGAGGGGACGTGAGAACACGATTTTGCCACCCTCCTGGCTAACTGAAATGCTTGTTCCCGAGATTACAGTAATTACAGCCCCAGCATGAGTTCCATACAAGCGCTAAATGAAACAGCACATCAATTAAAAAATAAACACTCCATTCTAGGAGAAAGACAACCCCCTGGGACGTCCTAACAAGCGTAAATGAACCTGCCAGGCTCCGTCCCCTCCGGCCTCCGCGTTACCCCCACCCTGTCTTAAGGAGATTGTGAAGCTGGGGGGGCAGCACTCGCTGGCGGCGTCCCAAGTAGCTGCTAAACGCAACTCCAAAACCCAGCGCTCTGCACAGCCCACTGATACGTGTCGGCGAGTAGGCGCCAGGGCTGAGCCCCGCCTCCCACAGTAAAAAAAAAAAAAAAAAAAAAGGAGGTTCTGGCAAAAACATGTGAACTTTGGACAGAGGTATATGTTCCAAAAGTAGGAGGCGAAGAGAAAGAATCCAGAAGCAGTTTCTAGTCTGTCCTATTTATAAGTTTTCCTTTCTTTCTAGGAGAAAGGAAACATTTTTTTTAAATAAGGAAACACTGTGTCCCGGTCCCGCCTGCTTTATACATTTTTCTCACCTATTTATCGGAACCCCTTTTGGGATGTGCACTATGACCCCAATATCCAGGTAAGGAATATGAGGCTACCCTAGGTCACTCAGCGCAGGCGGGGAATGCCTGGTGCCCGGCGCCCCTGAGCTCCTGCAGCCGGGCTCCTGGGTCAGACCCACCGGTTCAGACCCACCGTCTAGAATGAACTGCTCTTGCACCATTTCTCCCACATTTCCAAACCTCAAAGACTATGATTCTGAGAACCCCCAAGTAAGGCACCCCATCTCAGATCTCCCGCCGAGACCCGCCCGGGACAAGTCCCAGCAGCGCATTCTGGGTTTCCCCGCCGTCCCAGCTGGAAGATGGACACGGGGACCCCCATAGCCAGCAGGTCACCCTCATGAGGGCGGAGTAGCTGGCAGGCACTTGACTGATTTGAAACGGGCCTAGGGAGGCACACGCTCCCCAAAACCCCTTCCCAGACCTCAAGCAAACACTCGGGAAAATGGAACCAAGACCTCAGACGCAATAAGCGCCTTGGGGACAGTCGTGGCAGTAGCTCCCTCTTTGCGGTCAATCCCAAGGTTACCAAAACTCCAATCGCAGGCGGCTACAGGCTTGGACAGACTCCCCGCGCCGCCTTAAGGAAGGCTGAGCCTTGGGAGCGCCTAGACCCCGCCCCCTCGCCCGGCGATTGGCCGCGCCCGGCCAGGGGCGGAGCCCGAGCCCGCTCTATATAAATATTCATGAGCCAGCCAGACAGCGCGAGAGGGGCTGGAGCCGGGAAGTTGGGTGAAGGGCGCTGCTCCCGCGGAGACGGCGGCTGCTGGGCGCGATCCGCGCGGCTCAGGTGTGTCTGCTCCGCCTTCTATTCCGGATTTGATTGTGCGTTTAGCGACGAGGGACCTGCCTCCACTTTGCCCGCTTGCTGGCCTGAGCGTGGCGCGGACTTTTATCAGAGGCGGGGCCCATCCGTCCCGGCGACCGACCGCGGGACCCACGCGCGGAGCAAGAGGGCGGCGGCCTCGGCGAAGGCGGGTCTCCAACTCCCGCGGCTGCCGCGCGGCTTTAGGGGCGGGCATGAGCCCTCGGGGGCTGATAGGGGGCCGCGAAGGCTGACCTGGCGCGGGCAGCGGCCTGGCCCAGCCATCTTGACTGCGCACCGCGGCCCGAAAGGAAACTTGCTCCACCGCCACCCACGGTGCCCGGGCGAAGTCACCGTCTCCAGCGCCGCGCGAAGTGGCTGGGCGCACCGGAGAGGAAGCCAGCGAGGCAGGGACGATGAGCCGCGAGGACTGAGATCGGCTGGGAGTTAGCCGGGCAGGCCCTGGCGGGACTGTGGTGCACGGCTGCGGCCACCCTTATCTCCCCGGAGCGGCGGAAGGGAGGTACGGACCGCCACTGCCCAGGCTTCGGACTGCGCAGTGTGGACACTCCCCGAGAAGGTTATCAGTAGCTGGAGACTGAACTGCAGGGCTCCCCCTCTCTTGCCAGTTCCCCCTGGGGCTCTGCGTGTCGCCTGGAGGGCTAGGGCGCGGTGCCGGGGCGCGCAGCATGGAGTGGGGTTACCTGTTGGAAGTGACCTCGTTGCTGGCAGCCTTGGCGCTGCTGCAGCGCTCCAGCGGTGCGGCAGCCGCCTCGGCCAAGGAGCTGGCGTGCCAAGAGATCACCGTGCCGCTGTGCAAGGGCATCGGCTACAACTACACCTACATGCCCAACCAGTTCAACCACGACACTCAGGACGAGGCTGGCCTCGAGGTGCACCAGTTCTGGCCGCTGGTGGAGATCCAGTGCTCGCCCGACCTCAAGTTCTTCCTGTGCAGCATGTACACGCCCATCTGCCTGGAGGACTACAAGAAGCCCCTGCCTCCTTGCCGCTCGGTATGCGAGCGCGCCAAGGCCGGCTGTGCGCCCCTCATGCGCCAATACGGCTTCGCCTGGCCGGACCGCATGCGCTGCGACCGGCTCCCGGAGCAGGGCAACCCTGACATGCTGTGCATGGACTACAACCGCACGGACTTCACCACGGTAGCGCCCAGCCCGCCGCGTCGCCTGCCTCCACCTCCTCCCGGCGAGCAGCCGCCTTCCGGCAGCGGCCACGGTCGCCCGCCCGGGGCCAGGCCTGCGTCCCGTGGCCGGGGCGGCGGCGGTGGAGATGCAGCGGCGCCCCCTACGCGTGGCGGCGGCGGGAAGGCGCGGCCCCCTGGCGGCGGCGCTGCGCCCTGCGAACCCGGCTGCCAGTGCCGCGCGCCCATGGTGAGCGTGTCCAGCGAGCGACACCCACTTTATAACCGCGTCAAGACCGGCCAGATCGCCAACTGCGCGCTGCCCTGTCACAACCCTTTCTTCAGCCAGGACGAGCGCGCCTTCACCGTCTTCTGGATCGGCCTGTGGTCTGTGCTGTGCTTCGTGTCCACCTTCGCCACCGTGTCCACCTTCCTCATCGACATGGAGCGCTTCAAGTACCCCGAGCGGCCTATCATCTTCCTCTCGGCCTGCTACCTGTTCGTGTCAGTGGGCTACCTGGTGCGCCTGGTGGCGGGCCACGAGAAGGTGGCGTGCAGCGGCGGCGCGCCGGGCGCGGGAGGCGCAGGAGGCGCAGGCGGCGCTGCGGCCGCTGCGGGCGCTGGCGCTGCGGGCGCGGGCGCTGGCGGCGCGGGTGGGCGCGGCGAGTATGAGGAGCTGGGGGCAGTGGAGCAGCACGTGCGCTACGAGACCACCGGCCCGGCTTTGTGCACCGTGGTCTTCCTGCTCGTCTACTTCTTCGGCATGGCCAGCTCCATCTGGTGGGTGATCTTGTCGCTCACGTGGTTCCTGGCCGCGGGCATGAAATGGGGCAACGAGGCCATCGCTGGCTACTCGCAGTACTTCCACCTGGCCGCGTGGCTTGTGCCCAGCGTCAAATCGATCGCGGTGCTGGCGCTCAGCTCCGTCGACGGCGACCCTGTGGCGGGCATCTGCTACGTGGGCAACCAGAGCCTCGACAACCTGCGAGGCTTCGTGCTGGCCCCGCTGGTCATCTACCTCTTCATTGGCACCATGTTCCTGCTCGCCGGCTTTGTGTCGCTGTTCCGCATCCGCTCGGTCATCAAGCAGCAGGGCGGCCCCACCAAGACGCACAAGCTGGAGAAGCTCATGATCCGCCTGGGTCTGTTCACCGTGCTCTACACGGTGCCCGCCGCGGTGGTGGTCGCCTGCCTCTTCTACGAGCAGCACAACCGCCCGCGCTGGGAGGCCACGCACAACTGCCCGTGCTTGCGGGACCTGCAGCCGGACCAGGCGCGCCGGCCGGACTACGCGGTCTTCATGCTCAAGTACTTCATGTGTCTGGTCGTGGGCATCACCTCGGGCGTGTGGGTCTGGTCGGGCAAGACGCTGGAGTCGTGGCGCGCGCTGTGCACCCGCTGCTGCTGGGCTAGCAAAGGCGCAGTGGTGGGAGGGGGCGCGGGCGCGGCGGCCGCGGGGGGCGCTGGCGGACAGGGGGGCGCCGGCGGCCTGGGAGTCAGCGGGGGGCCGGGAGGGGGCGCGGGGTCCCTCTACAGCGACGTCAGCACCGGCCTGACATGGCGGTCTGGTACGGCCAGCTCCGTGTCTTATCCTAAGCAGATGCCATTGTCCCAGGTCTGAGGGAGGGGAGTGAGCAGCCGGAAGGAACAGGGAGGGGGGCGCGGAGACTAGTGCTGGGAAGGGACACTCGGGAGGCCGAAGTTCCCACCCCTTAGCCGTGTTGATTGCTATTAGCATGATAATGAACTCTTAATGGTATCCATTAGCTGGGACTTAAATGACTCGCCTAGAACAAAGTACCTGGCATTGAAGGCTCCCAGAACCAGCCTCCTTTGCTCCATTGATAAGTGAGGCGCTCTTCCCTCAAGGCGTTAATTTCTGTTGGCAGAGGAGGGTGGACTCTGCTGCTGCCCTTCCAGAATCCCAGGTTTGGAGCCCTCACTGGTTGTCATTTGCTGAGCTTGAAGCCAGATCTACATATTTTTCTCCCCCCCCCCCCCCCCCCCGACTCTCCTAGGTAAACTTCAACTCCTGACATCCTAGAGGAGCGATTACTGCCACCGAAGGGATTGCACGGTTTGGGTATTCTTAATGACCAGGCAAATGCCTTAAATAAAAAAACAAATGTCTTAATTATACACCCCTAGTAAATACGGGTTCCTTCCATTAGAGGATGTATTTATATAATTATTGTTAAATTGTAAAAATGTGTAAAATATGTACATATCCAAAGATATACAGTCTGTACAATTTTGTAAAAAGTTTAGAGGCCACCCCTGTACAAACAAATTATAAGTAATCTATTTTGTCAATAAAACGACTTTTGATAAATGATTTAAACATTGCCCCCCTCCCCTTGCCTCTTCCAAGCTGTTACTTTAAAGTGCTTGCCAAAGACTCTTGGGAAAAAGGACATTTTTCTGGCTTCTCATTTTGTGCACCAACTTTAGGCATGGAGAAACTTATCTGTTGAATTATATTTCTTGAGTATTTCCTTGTTGAAGTGAAGTCAAAATTGAACATTTGCACCTACCAAAAAGGTGGCGTTTTTAATGGTAGCCCTTTTCTCATCCTTGGATAGCAACTCATCCCTTAGTGGATGGTAATGGAATTTGCCAGGCAGTAATTCCACTCAGGCCTAATTATTTATCTTGTATAATGTCACTAAAGGCTTCAACCCCCCACATTCATTTCTCCCATTCGTGTTTTTTTTTTTTTTTTTTTGAAAACACCTGTTTTACCAGGGACTGAACCCACTGCTGAAGTGTAGGGATTAATATTTTATTCCACAGATGACACAGTATAGGTCACTCAACAATCTGGTAGAGCTGGTGCTCTTTAATGGGTTAACATCTTAATAACCTTCCAGGCTTGTGTATATCAAATGTGCTGCTTTTCCTAGAGAAAAAGCTATTGTTCCTCTGTCAAGACTAAGCTAATTTATTTGAGCAGAAGGCTGTTGAATTAGCAGAAGAATGCTTTGGCAATTGTTGAACTTTTTACCTGTCTGCCTAGTGGCTCAGCACATCATTCCTTTAAGAGGAGCTAAATGAATAGGGTTAATCTGTAGGGAACTTGGTCTTTTGAGTTTGAAAAACTTTGATCTTTTCTCCTCTCCAAATGTGCTGTATAGTCTGAAGTTTCTTTCCCTGCTGCCCTGCTCCTCTTGGTGCAGACCAATTGGCCACCGCGGAGCCTTAAAGTTCTTCCATTAAAGGGATGTGGGACTTTTACTTTAAAAAAGAGAGCTAGCGAGGGAGAGGAAGACTTGTAACAGTTAGTGAAGACCAGAGGCCCAAGTGCACTCAGCCTTTTAAACAGCTTTTCCTGGCATTGTTAGCCAGCCTGCAGGCAGCTAGGCATGGGTTGAAGCATTATAGAAAAGGGCTCTGAATGCCCTACAGGTGGTCTGAGCACATAATCCCCCAATTTAAAGCGTTTTCCTTTGCTGGACAATTGCATTACAAAACTCCCTTCTTTTTCGCTCCTAATTGAACCAATGAACTATTATAAACTACAAGTTTTTCTTAAAAAAGAAAGAAAGAAAAAAACCTCACTACCGAAATTCTATTGACTAAATTCTGGCAAATTTTCTGAACTAAATCTTTTAAAGCACCGGAAGTAAAAGCTTCAGCAGACATTTCTCTTTTTCAGATATTTTTCTGCATGCTTGTTATTTTCTGACAGATTAGCAATAATTTAAAAGTAATTGGTAAGGTTGTGTATTCATACTGAAAAGATAGCCCCAGGTCCCTTATTAACCTGTCAATCAACATAAGAAATGGGCAACTACCCTGCTAATGATGGGGGGCATAAAAGTTGTGGGGTGGGAGGGGCCTGTTCTCTGCATCCTGCTAAAATGTTTGTTCTCTTTACTTTTCCTAATAGGAATATATAGTGGTTAAAAAAAATTTAATGAATTGGATGGTAACTACTTCTTGACTGATCTTTCTCATGTAAGAGCTTCTTAAGAAGAGTTTCTTGGTAGAAACATTTTGCAAATCCTTTCCAGAGTCATTCTTGGTGTTAATTGGATTTTTAAAGTTAAATGTTCAATAAGAACACCTACTTTAGATATCATGCTGATTTGATTTTTTTTAAGTCAGAGGCATTGTAAAATCTCCTCGCAGTTTTCTTCATTAAAGAATTACTATTCTGTAACTTAGATACCAATAGGTGGCTGCATCCAGCCTTCATGGTGACTCTCATTCACTCTAATGTATGTAAGTCAGTTATAAACTTTACATTTTCCGTCATAAAGGAGAATTATAAGGACAGTTCCCATAGGCCTTACACAGTGTGTGATGGGAGAGTGCTCAGAATCACTAGAAATGTAGCAGTCTTCTCATTAGTGACACATTTGCGGCTATGTGACACAGTGGGAAATAGTCAATTGGCCCCTGGCGGCCAATTGGTCTTTTTGAAGCTTTTTTCCTTGATAATTTTTCAATATATCCTTGTAAAATACCATATTTGATAACTCTTCCAAGATGGCTATAAGTGTGCTTGACATTCAGAGGACAACTCTCAGTAAAAAGACTTGTAATTGTAATCACTAGAAACTGATTTTAGGGACTCATATTAAACACAAGTGCTGATTCTTTAGTCTTTAAAACTAAAACTTGAGTCACAAGTTGTCAATATCTAAATGTATCTACTAATGAGATAAAAATATCCAAAATTGATATTGGAAATGGAAAAGGGGAGAAAGGTCTCTATTTGGCCAATTGCATTAGATGAATGACTGGATCCCTTGCCAGAACACCCGTTTTGTACCATAGTGATGTGCCCTTAATTACTATGTGAAATGGGTGGTTTTTTTTTGTTTTTTTAAATAAATTTTATTTTTATATTCCCCATACAATTGCAACCCCCTTATTTGACCCCAATCGAAATGGGTGTTTTTTAAAATCTTGTGAGAAATGGGGTTATTGTGTGGCCAAAAGATCGATGTAAATAAAGTAATATGGTTAAAACCATTAGTAAAACTAAAGCTCATTAAAATTACTTGTAGAAGGCGTTATATGAAACACTTTCTTTTTGCTTTAAATAAATGCAATTTGAAAGTATAAAACAGAAGGGAAGAAAGTTTATAAGAAAATTAAATGGTGACAAACTATGTCACCATTACAGTTTCTTAACCTGCATTGATAGCATTGCACGTTCCTGTAATTCTTCACAGTTTGGGAGAAGGAAATCAACTGTCTCGCCAACTTGTGTGAAAGTAAAATCACAGCGAGGCTCAGCAAAGCACAGGATGCAATTTATAGGTGCAAACACGCCAAATAGATCACAAGTACAGGGAACAGCTTTCCACTTTCGATGCTATACTGCCACCTTGTGGAACCATAAAGTTCCAGAGCCAGGAGGATGGTGAGATGCTTTCATCCAAAAATACAGAGCTAAGGTGGAGCTGCTGGGGAAAGAAAGAGGCTAAGAAAACTGCACTGGAGCTCTGGTGGAAGGTAAAGGAAGCACGTACTCACAAGAAGACGTGAAGTTATAGTCCCCAAATTATAAAGTTATGTAAATGACTAACAAGTTTGGTTTTGTGTTTGTTTTTTTCAATTACAAGAAGAAAAACATACCCAGCTCCCACACTGCTGGCCCTTACCCCAGGCACAGACTGGTCCACAGAGTATGCAAGCATTTTGTGTTCATAATTTTGTATTCTTTCCTTTAAGAAAAGGATCCCAAAACTTCCATCAGTTTAGGGTCCCACAAGATCTCAATTGAATCAAATCTTCAATGTAATTGTTAGGATAAAAAGCTCAATTATACCAAAAACCAAAGTTTTATCGCCTTCATCTTTAGAGTTAATTTTCTTTGGAGGATGGACTGCTTGCCAAAGAGTTCATCACATAAAAACTATAATGGAAGAAAGAATGAGCTATGAAGAATATTTTGAGGTGGCATGTAGTTGCTTTACCATTTAAATGGACTACTTAACAATTTCCCAGAGTGAAGCTGATCCTCTGAGTTCTAGTAGATAAGCTTCAAATGCTACACATGAGTGCTCCTGGGTTGGTTGGGATGCAGGCATTTTTTCCCCCTGTTGTCTAGCCAGGTATTTGTGAAAACACCAAAGAATAAAAGCTGCACTGAGAAATAGGTTTAGCCAAAGGGAAGAGAGCAGGGAATATCTACTCTGAATACCTGAGAGAAGATTTCACAGTGATGTGAAAAGACCAGGTCTTAAAAAGGAATGCATATAAAAAAAGAGGTAGTCTAAAAAGCCCAGATCTGAAGACTTTTGATTCTTCTGGAAGAAGAATCAGAATGAGGGCCTCCCTGGTGGCACAAGGGGTTAAGCATCAGCACTATGAAGCAATCCACAACTACTGCAGCACAGTTCGATCCCCAGCCAGGGAGCTACCCACATGGCACAGCAGACCTCTCCTGTCTCGCCCGCTGCTCCCCTCAGCAGTGTATTTCAGTCAATCTGCCTGTTCCGCTCTCCACTCTGTCTCTGATGAATCCTCTCATACACACACCCCACCTCTGGCCTGTACTCCAGTTCTTGTATACATAAATAAATCTTTTTTTTTTAAAGAAGAATTAGAATGGCTAGTGGGGGTGGAAAAGAAGGAAGAGGCACTGGTGGAGAGGATTTGTTAAGATATAGTCAAGCAGGGACCTCCCTGGTGGCACAAGGGATTAAGACACAATCTATGAAGCTATCCGCAGCCACTGCAGCACAAATTGGATCCCAGCCAGGGAGCTACCCACATGGCTCAGCAGACCTCTCCTGACTCACCTGCTGCTCCCCTCAGCAGTGTACTTCAGTCAGTCTGCCTGTTCTGTTCCCTACTCTGTCTGGTGAATCCTCTCACCCCCCGCACCTCTGGCCTGTACTCCAGTTCTTATATGCATAAATAAATAAATCTTTAAAAAAAAAAAAAGATACAGTCAGGCAGAGCCTGGCCTAGAAGACATGGATCTGGCTTGTCACTCCTATTTCTCCAGGCCTGTGCTGGCTGCCCTGCTCTGCTGTGTAAGTTCCTGATGCCACCTGTATGTATTCATACATGGACATCAAATTACCAGGGCTGTGTTCGCCTACTTAGAGAATCCTACCAGAGTACAGGTTCCTCACCATTCTGTGCCATCCTACACAGGAACAAAGGAACAGACAGCCTGAAAGCCTGCCAGGATAGCTTTGGAAAGGTTTTCATATTGGAGCCCTGGTTGACTTAGGCCAGATCCCCTGCTCTCTGCTGTCTGCTTTCATAGTAATACAACAGTTAATACTTGTTAACACAGTTAACGATTTCCTAGATGATACAAAAGGCCCAAGGACACAGAGTCTGTCTGCTCACTAGGTGAAGAGGAAGGTCTCCTGGAGGAAGGAGAGGACTCTGTTGCTGATAGAGTTCACACTGGGATAAAGGGTCCAGAAGTGAGTGGAAAGCATCAGCCCTGTGCAGCAGGAGTCTGGGAGCTATTCATGGAAAGCCTGACTAGCACCAGTGAGGACAGTGAACACAGCGCCACTGGGAATGGACAGGGGGCATGGAGTCCAAGAGCAGCCTTGGAGAAATCTCCAAAATGAAAGAGCAAACCAAAAAGGTTAGTCCCAGAAGGCAGGGACCTAACCAGTACCAGTAGCTTGTAGAAATTTCTGGAATGAAAGAACAAACCAAGAAAATTTATATCACAGGACCCTAAGACGACCTAAGCTG